TATTGGAATTTCTTTCTTCTTCTTTGGAGGGATAATTACTTGTGAAATTATTTTAATCTTTGGTGCATTTTCTTTTTCAGATGCAGTTTTTGTTGATTCAGTGTGGTCTGATGTTGGTTTGCGCATATATGGTTTTGATTCTGTGAAATATTTCCTAATTATTTCATCATTACATAAAGGTGTGTCTCTTAACATATCTCCTAATTTATTGTGAAATTCTTCATCAGTTTGTGCTGTTACTTTCGCATCAGGATCTGATGATGATCAGGTTTGAAGAGTATTTATTTGTAAAGGTGGTCTTGATAAAGCATCCGCGTTCATGTTAAGGGTTCCTTTTTTATATTTAATTTCATAGTCAAATTCAGATAACTTAAGTCGCCATCTTACTAATTTAGAAGTTGGTTCCTTTACGTTGAATAACCACTGTAGAGGTTTGTGGTCCGATAAAATAGTAAATTTTCTTCCGAAAAGATACGGTCGGAAGTATTTGGTTGCCCAAACAATTGCTAAAAGTTCTTTCTCTATGGCTGAGTAATTGCATTCTGCAGGGTTCAACGTACGACTTGCATATGCGATAGGAAGGTCAGAGCCGACAGGGCCTTGAGATAACACTGCTCCTATGGCATAATTTGATGCGTCAGTTGTTAAAAGAAAAGGTCGATTAAAATCGGGGTGTTGTAATACGGGATCATTTACCAGGATATTCTTGCATGTTTCAAAACTTTTTATAAATTCCACATCATGAATTATCTTCTTGTCCTTTTTCAAGCATACCGTCATTGGTTTCGTTAATTTAGCGAAATTCTTAATGAATTTTCGGTAGTAACCTACTAATCCTAAGAAAGATTTTATCTCTTTGACAGTTCTTGGAATTGAAAATTCCTTTATTGCCTTTATTTTGTTCGGATTAGGTTTTATACCGTTTGGCGTTATCACATGTCCTAGAAATTCTACTGTTCTTTGTAAAAATTCAGACTTATCGAGTTGAATTTTCAAATTATATTGTTGTAGTCTTTCAAATACTTGTTTGAGGTTTTTCACATGTTCTTGAAGTGAAGTCGAAAATATGATGATGTCATCCATATATACAAGACATATTTTGTTTTGCAATCCAGATAACACATTATCCATCGCTCGTTGAAAGGTTGCTGGTGCATTTTTAAGTCCGAATGGCATTCGAGTAAACTCATAGTGTCCATATTCAACATTAAATGCCGTCTTAGGTATAGAGTTGGGATGCATCTCTACTTGATGGAATCCAGATGCGAGATCCAATGTTGTGAAATAATTGCTTCGTCCTAATTTATCCAGTAAATCTGAAATGTTCGGTATTGGGTACCTATCGTCAATAGTTTTCTTGTTGACTTTGCGATAATCCACTACCATTCTCCATTTCTGTATGCCAGAAGCATCTTTCTTTTTTGGCACTATCCATACTGGTGAGGACCATGGGCTACACGAGGGTTGAATTATATGTTCATCCAACATTTTTTTTATTTGTTGGTTAATCTCGTTTTTATGTATATGAGGATACCTATAAGTTTTTGTATGGACGGGTATTTCATCTGACGTTCTGATTTCATGTTTAACCTGATTCGTGAAGGTTAACTTATCATTGGGTTTATGAAAAATCTCCGGAAACGCCCGTACTACATTCTGTAATGCATTTAATTCCTCCTTATTTAAATGCTGAGTACGTAAAAATTCTATTGGATTATTATCATATTCATGTGGGTATAATGACGTTACTTGTTCTATATTAAATGTCTCAAAAGCTTCTTCATTATAAATAAAACTTGCTTCTGCTAGGTCATCTATATGCGTAGTAAGAACAAAAGGTTTATCTGTTAGATTATGCACTTCTAACAAAGCTGTTCCATTTATAACTTTAGCTATTGTTTCTGGTATCATGTATTTATCCGTTTTCACTTGAGGTATTAAAATCTCAGTATTTTCAAGGATGTCTGTATTAAAATGACAAAGTTGAATAGTTTTTGCTGAAATTTCTAAATTTTGGGTATCAAAGTCTGTTCTAAATTGAAATGGAATTGTTATTTCTTCATTACTAAGGCACATATTTGTAAAGTCAATATTTAAATTATTTTCTTGTAAAGCTTTAATTCCTATAATACCGTCAAAATAATCATGAAAATTATACATTATCATGTCAATATCCTGATCAATATTAAATTCATGTAAAATTGGAATTCTTACTTTACCATGGGCTTTTCTTGTTCCCATACATGTAGTAAGTTTATTTAATGAATCTATGAAATCTGGGAAGTATTCTTCCGCTATTGAAAGTCTTATTAATGAAGCATAACTACCTGTGTCTATTAAAAGCTTACAAGGTGGATCGAAAGTTTCAATAAAAGGTAGTTGATTGACTTGGTATGCATTTAAAGTCAATGCTGATTGTTGGATTCCAAGGCTAGTGTCTGAAAATTTTCATCAGGGCTTTCTTGGTAATCTTGACTTATTTGATCGTCATTTATTTCTGAGTTTTCGGGTATTTCTCCGAATTCTGAACTTTCATAGTTCTCAGAAGTTTCGTCTGGTTCTTGTAATTGAATTCCATATATATTATTTATTTCCTCAATGGTGTATTTTGAAGGACCTGCATTGGGATCTGGTCGAAAATAATTTGATTGTTGGGGTTGAAAACCTCTTGAAAAATTCCATCTATTAATTTGGGAATCTTGTCTTCTTGGTTGAATAGATACACCAGACATAGGTGTCGGTTTTGTCAAGGGAAGGTTATTGTTTGGTTTAAAAACATTTGTTTTGTTGTAATTTTTACCAAACGTACCCGAACTAGTAGGGAATTTATGGGTTATTGCTTTTGTCTGTAAGTTTATTGGTTGTGAAGGAAATTGTGGCTTCACATGGAAATACGGGTTTTGTTGTCTTTGTTGTTGTTGTGTATTGTTTTGTTGGTGTTGAAATGTTTGGTTATTTTTTGTCTTAAAATTCGAAAAGGAATTATTTTGATTTTTGTTAAATTTCATATGATTCTCAGCCATCTGATAGTTTAGTACAAAAGATGTTGCTGCGTCTAATGTTATAGGATTCTGAACCATTAAAATTATTCTAAGCTCAACTGGTGAATTTGTTATCAAATTTTGTACCGCTGTAACTTCATTTTGAGCTACAAGAATATTTGCAACTGCTAACAAATTGCTGTCACACATTATTTTTGAAGTAATTCGGTGATTAAGAGCTTTCAATCTTTCTAAATATTCGTAAATTGATTCCTTTTGGTTTCTTGATGCATACATTAATTCTTGAATCAAATTTTGACGAGAATAAGGATCTCCATATTTAATTCTTAGAGCACCCTTAATATCTATCCATGATTTTAAATCTGGACGTGTCATCAAAAAATTTCCAGCATCATTGATAAGCTTTGATTTTATCGCAGTTATTACATATTCTTTTTGGGCAGGATTCCCTACGTAATAAGTGTGATAAAATTCATCAATATTACTAATGAAATACTCCAGATATTGAGTTTCGCCACCAAAAGGCTTCAAAAGTTGAACTATGGATTTCAAATTTTCACCCATGTTTCTGTTTTGTCTTGTTGATTGAATATTAGGTCTTAATTGATATAATTGACTTGGATATTCTTCAGTATCTGATTCAGATTCAGACATAAAAGAAAACTTTAATTAAACAAGTTTTATTTTAGAATTAAAAATTAAAAATTAAAATAATAGGAATAAAGAATGTTTTATCCAAAAATAAAAAGTAGATTTTCTTGAAAAAAATAGGTTAAAACCTTTGCAAAAGAATTCAAGAAAAATCCAAAAATAACTCTTAAATATGAAACACCAATAACAAAATATTAGGGAAAGGTTTACTTACTAGGCTCGATGCTAATAACAGTAACACTCTCACTATTTATACGTTGGTTCTCAATGTCTCTTATGTCCAGTTAACACCAAGTGAAGTGGACAGGAATTTCCTCAAATTTCACTCCAATGATCACTGTAATCCAGGTTTCACTGCAATCCAATTTTCACTGTAATCCAAGTTATCACTTATAGATTCAGTTCGATTGTCTTTAGTAATTCGCGGGTCACGATCTCGAAATTCGGAAAAACTTGTGCACTCTGAACATCCGGTTTTTTACGAAAAAAACTGTAAAAAATTATCCGCACGACTGCCCCAATTAAGTTTCAAATAAGTAACTTTACTTTTTTAAAAACTTTATTTTAATTAAAAGTAAAAGTAAAGTAACATATGAAGACTGGTGGAACTAGTTGCTGCTGCAAAGCATGAAAGCAAAAGAACAATTGTGCATGGCTGCACCGCTTTTTATAAACAATAAATGCAAGCTAGCAATATTCACTAAAAACGTCAACAATTGTGATGTCATCGTGGGCGAGCAATTAGTATGCTCCTTTAAAGCAATAGATTGATTAACTAATTAACATTAGTTGATATGGGAATCGTTCAATATAACTTGCTGATTTTGCCATAAAATAGAAATCTATTAAAGTAAACAAAATAAATGAACAAAATAATTATAATTGTAAAAAATCATTAGTCACTAATGCCTTATATCCTCTCGCTTCTCAACCTTTGACACAGATCAATAAATAATATCTATTCTTATCAGCTTAATATCGCTATACCTATCAAAGACGCACAATCAACAAAGAAAAAAATTAAATTAAAAAAATCATAACTTGATAAATATTCAAGGTTCCATATTTTTTTTCTCGCTAACCATCTTGAAATTGCTTTGTTTATCAGTAATAATTAAAATCATATTGAAAATCAAAGGAACCTAAAGTGATTTATCACCGAAAAAAGATTTTCTTTTCGATTTCTCACCACTTATTTTTCGAATGCAGCTTAATGACCTTCAACTTCTAAGCTACCCAAAAAATATCCAATATGGAATTTGTAATAAAATTAACAATCACCAGCCGAGCTAATCAGGTCTCTAACCATTCATACTAAAAAAACAATTTCAATAAAAATGTACTTACCGCTTCCCATTCCTTCGTAAACGAATCACCTTCGTCTGAATCCGAATCATCGCCGGATTTTAAATCGCTAGCAATGCATTTTTCCAAAGTCCTTGCATGTAATTCATTTATTTCAATTGGCCCTTGCCGTCCCAAATCGGCACTATCATTGTCCTTCAATTGTAAGATATTATGGATAGTACGCATAGGACTAAGGGCACTAATATCAATTTTTTGCGATATACAGAAATATAAAATATTCGCGTTCAATCTGGCAACTTTTCTGGTAAATTGTTGCTCATTCATTGTGCTACTGCTGAATTCGCTGTAAGTCATTTTATAAGGAAGCCTTACATTTAATAAAAACGATAAAACGTTAACTAGTTGAGCAGCGTAGGTGAGTGCGGCTGAAATTGTTAGGGCAGGGTTGATATCCATCATCTCAGTGTCTTCGGATATAGGGATACCGTCACGATTTTGAGCCCATAGATTGTAATTTGAATAGTTTCCACTACCAGGCAAGCATGGCGCCACTATTGAATATTGCATTTCATTGGAATAATCTGTATAAACCCATTTATCTCTGAGATAGGTTGTCTGTGATGCTTCTGCTAGTTCCTTTATCATACTATCTCCACTGGATTCCATTTCTATTACAGGTTTAACTAATGATATTGGGAATATATATTTGAATAATTGTTGAACTCTTAGCCTGGCTATTTTTTTAACTTCCTTGTTCTTTTTGTGTAATTTCTCTTGGGCCAAAGATACTTTTTCGCTTTTTATCGCAGCACAATCGCCCACTTCTGCACTTTTTGTTTTGTAGGCCTTGAGTTTTTCACTTCTTTCTTGATTTCGTTCTTTTAATTCCGCTAGTTTTTGGTTTAAAAAGTGTTTCCTCTGACGTTTTCCTTCTAGTGCCAACTGAATTATTTGATTTCTTTCTTTGCCTTGACGAATTTTTGTTTGCTAAAATAATTCAATTCTGTATTATAAGCAAGACGACACCACTGCTTAGTGCCAATATTGCAGTAAATATACTATAGAATTAAAGATTATGAATTTTTTATCTTTATAAACTCTGATAGTTGAAATTTGCTATGAGAGGCTGCATAATTAAAGAAGAGCAGGGGCAAAAACTCCTTAGTAATATCATTCTTCTTAACATTATATTCACATAATATATAAGAAACCTATAAAAAAATAATTCAAGAGCAAGAGCTGAAAAACATGTGGCACTTTAATTTTACAACTGTTTGCCTTTACAGTATTGTCGCACAATATAGCTTCAGAAACATTGTTAAAAAATAATTGAAAACAATGAAAAGTTCCTTGAACGGTTTCTCGAGTTTTCAGTTTAAAGTTATTGTAATTCAACTACATGTTAACATTTTCTTTAAACATACCTATTTACATAAATCTCAATTAGGTTGGACTTCTGCCATAACGTTAGACATCAAAACATAAACCTTTGGTACTAGTGCCAAGTGCCATTCATGATACAATATTTCAGAAGCTGTATGGCATAAGAATAAGTTGAATTGCACTTCCTACGTTTTTGTTAAACATGGTGTGTATTTTCCATCATTAACAAAACATTGATTCACAAATAATTTTTGTTCAAAATTGTAAAAATAATAATTAATCAGTAGGGAACTTGCACATTTTTTGTTTATTTCAAAAATGTGTTGCACTACACTAAAGACATAGTCATGCCAAATATCAAGCATTAAAAGTCAGCCGTTAATTTTTTATAAATATTTGAAGTTACGCTCGAAACATCGCCATTTGAAACGACCGATTAGTGTGACGTCACTCAGCAACAAAATTCCGTTCACAGTCCTTGGTTGACAGTGACCTGCGGGTAGATTTAGATTATGGTTATGTTGTTATGTATGCTGTTTATGATAGATTTGACAGTGACAACCCCAGCAGCACATGGTGTGGCAGCGGTGCGACCCGATTATTACTGCCCTTTGACGTCAGGACCCATAGAAATACGTTTTTGATCTTGTCCAGAATTTCGAATTATTTGGTATTTTCAATTGAAGATTTTGAAAACCAGAGATAAGATATTATATCCTTCTCCTAATTGCATCATTTATTAGGATGATTGTTATTGTATTTTATTATTTATTTCATATTTAATTCAATGTGCAAGTTCCCTATTGTAGGGCAACAGGAACCTTGTGATTATTGTGACTGTGAATCTTTATTTAGCAACATCTGATCTTGATCATCAAAATATAGCTATTTATACAATAAGTTACGAAATGAGCGTCTTTTAGGCACGCGACGTGAAAATTGTCCAACGAGGCAAAGCCGAGTTGGACAACACGTCGAGTGACTAAAAGACATCGTTTCGTAACGTATTGTATACAAGATTTTTTCTACTGGCATTTTATAATAAAAAAACACAATTTTATTTCATGTGAATAAGTCGATTACACCCAAAATCTTTGTTACCTGCTTTTACTTGACACCTGACACTTTTCATGCGATTTTCTTTTCAAAATTCGACATCAATAATTAATCCTAGAAAGTAGGTAATAACACAAAGTTCTGTTTTGAGTAACCCAAACGTTCAATTCAGTAATTCCATTTTCAATATTCATAATAAATACAAAACAAAATTCAAATATGTGTTTAGTGTGTTTTTTATTTCTGAATAATGAATGACACTTTTAGGCACTAGTGCTTAAAAATTACTTTTACGCACTCATAAGTCACTTTTACGCATTCAAAAGTCACTTTTACGCACTGAGTGCCTAAAAGTAACTTTCACGCACTCAGTGCCTAAAAGAATGTCGTTTCAAAACTGAAATGACAATCGAAAAGTTGCTATTATGAAACGTCAGTAGAAAAAATTATTTATGTATTTTCAACAAGGGAGACGATGAATGAATTTCCTAGTGATATGTTCTTGTATAGTATGTGAAGAGTCTAGGATCCATAACTCAAGAGGTTCGTCTCATACTATAAGGTCGAACCGTGCTTTTCCGCAGTATCAAAAGTCAGAAGTGAAAGGTATACTATAAAGACTACAAGAAAGAACAGTATTGGAGCCAATCTCTAGACATCTACAATCTGATAGCAAAAACAGACTTTATTTATCATGAAGAGTTCAGACAATTTTAATCTAAACCAGGTGCTGAAGTAATGCTATATCTTGTGCAAAGGAACAGGCTCAAAATTTCTAATAATCACGTGAATGTAGTACCGTTTGAAACGCAGTCTTTAAAATGAATTTACGAATCATAAAAATGAATGAGAATGCCCAAGCCATTGGGCCACGAAATGAGTAAGTTGTTGGTACATACCTCCAAAACTAATTTTGCACTAAACCCAGCCAGAACCAGTATTAAAAGGGGTCTGACCTGGAAAGTAAGTACCGCCTACAGTCACTATTATATTACTGTTCGTTCATCCACACAATTTCTGTCTATTTTTGCGAATTTTTCAACATATAGGGGTATTTTTTTTTGCCAAACCTGGTGAGTCGTAAGCGGTTGTGGTTCACACTGTAGGTTTATCACTACCTTAGTAAGCTGTGTTCAAAGTTTGATTAACGATTAACGCACTCGATTTCCGATATTTTATTGCTATTTTTTCAACATAGTGGTGCTTTTTTGCAACCATGGCAACAGTGGCGTAGCGAGGGGAGGGGCGGTAGGGGCGGACCGCCCCGGGCGCCACTTTTAGGAGGGCGGCAAAATTGCCGCTTCTTGTACCTTTCAAGAATTGCCTGTAACCAACATCATTATTGAAGTGAAAACTTTAGGCGCGTTTAGCAAAAAAAAAACGCTCATTCGGTCGGATACAGTCGGCTCGAGTCGAGTTCAGCCAAACGAGAGAAAAAAACAGTCAGTAGTGCGGGAAAGAGAAATAGCGCGATTGGGATTCAATCGCAACTCTCCCTAGAACAAATTCCGGTGACGTTGCCGATATGATTGGCAAAATATTCAGGCCTATGATGTATCATTTTCTGTTATTTTAAGAGCAACGTTAAGTTATCTGTCACTGTTTATTCTACACGTAAAAATAGAGCTATAACACAACTGTAGGTCTGATTAATTTCTTTTAATAGGTTGTCTGCTAATGGCAAACAGATGACGTCATCAGGTGGTGCATTATGTTCAGGCATACATATGACGTCATGAAAGTTATCAGGGGCTAGATTCTCAACTTCTAGTCGCAACCTATCGTCCCAACTATTCGCGTCGGCGGCACCTTTCTATATACAAGTGGTCGGGACGTTACGTATCGACAGATTGAGAATCCCATCAGGCAACAGGCAACCTACCTCTTTTATGGCCGAATTTATAATCGTTCCTTGAATCTTCCTTAAAGTCGCGAGTTTAGAATGGACACATGCTACTATTCGACAAGTTAGTCATGTTAAATCTAAATGTTCAGGGCTTCCTTAAGGACAAGGATAAATTCGGCCCTTGAACAACCTTGATCCAAACCGCAAATGCTAATATTCAATATAGCAGCAATTGTCAAGCATCTGTGATGTTTGTTTATTAAACCTACGTTTTATCGTTTTATTAATTTTTGAAGTTTTCTCATCTGTCGTGTGAAGCGCACTTCGTGACTTGGGTTCGGTAATTGCATCTGCGAGCAAAATTTGACAGAATGTCACGTAATTTGACATATGAAAAAAGATAAGTGATCACGTGACGTCCATCAAAATTTGCTCGCAGATGCAATTACCGAACCCAGTCCGTTTTTTTTATGACGTCAAAAGGGCGGCAAATTATGATTCCGCCCCGGGCGACAATAGTCGCCACTGCATGGCAAGTCGTAACGGCTTAAAGCTTCAGATGACACGTTAATCACCACCTAAATAAGCTGTTTTCAAAGAAAGATTTTAAATTAACCATACTTCAGAGAAACTCTGTACCAAGTTTGTAAGTTACTGGATTTTTAAGTGTATTTTTCTGTACTTCGCCCTGGCAACCCCCTACATTAAGTATGTCTGGTTTAAGGAAACTACACTTATACTATGTTGAAAAAAAATATAAATAAAAAACAGCTGGTAAAAATGGCTGCTAAGTTCACAATTCTTGCTGCCAAAAATGACTGCTAACTTCACAATTTTGGCTGCCAGAAAAGGCTGCTAACTTCACACCGGTAAATTAAATGTTATCTTGGCTTTCAATAATAGTATAATAGTTATTAATGATACTAGTTCGATATGAACACCATAATGAAACGCGTGTAACGTTAAACCACGGGGCGTTAGTCGAGTGGTTTAGTTACACAAGGTTCATCAATAAAGTTCATATCGTACGTGTGTCATTCACAAAATCTACAATGGTCCAAATAGATTTTTTGCCTTGAAATAGCAAAAACATCTCAAGTTAAAATTTAAAATTTAGCAGGTGCCCATACTAGTCGGCGAACGCGCTTGTTGATTTTTTTTTGTTGAGAATTTGGACTTTGGCAGCTTCAATATTGGAGTACATTTTTTAGGCGACTGTCACAAAAAGATTAGTTTTACGGATTCAATATCATCCCTAAAGTATATCTTTTTTGGCCGCATTCACTTTACGGCCGCATTTACTTCACGGCCGCATTTGCTTTATCACTTTACGGCCGCTTTTACTGAAGTAAAAGCGGCCGTGAACGGCCGCTTTTACTTTACGGCCGCTACAAATTTCCACATAAAATGCTAAAAAAAAACGGCATGATTAAAAATTTCGGAGAAGTATTTTCTTGCCAAAATTAAATAATCCTCAACGTTATGGTCTTCAGGTCCACCTATGTTATACTCTATGTTAAAATTTACAATTATAGTCGGAAATACCTAACATATCAGCAAGTTTTCAAAATTGATTGCTTTTTTAAAGAAGCTCAATGTAAGATACCAGGCGAAAAAGTCGGCAAATTTCTATAATCACTTTATCGTAGTTTTTGTTATTAATAATTGTGTATCTACCTTTTGCTGGATTATTTATTTGATC